CATACATACTAGCTTGTGGCATGCACGCACGCACGCACGCACGCACGCACGACTCCGGTGCTCATGTAACGTAATCATGGAAAGCTCGATGGCGCAACCACCAGTGTTCGTCGAGTACATATTAAAGCGAACGTTTTATTTTAATTATTACCCGCGTGCCTCTCGTCATGCAAAACGACAAAATCACAATCTGTTATATTAATTTAATTACTATACGTCAGTATTAAAGAGTTGTACAATGACTTGGCTGTTCATATATATATATACATATGTATATGTTCATATATATGTGTATATGTATATATGACTGTTTCGTTCGACAGCTCCACGTTTATTTACTTATTGTCCGGTTTGTTAGAGGGAAACGATCGACGCGACGAATGCGAGAAACATCGCGGGAATAACGACGTTACTTTCGACGAGATCGAATAATCATCGTCATCGTCATTGAATTTTCTATGTTATATCTCGGTAACTAGGCAAGCTCGGTCGTTCACGGAAGGCATCGTACGGTGCTCATTATTATCATTTTTTTTTTGTTTTAATTTATTTATTTAAATCGTTGCATCAACAATTATTAACAAGTTTCCCTTTCCTCGTATCTCTCTCTCCCCGCTTTGTCGTATTTCGTCCAGTTCGTTTCGTGCTCTTGCGAGATTCACGTTTCGTTAATTAGTTAATCTTACTTGTTGNTATTCTTCATTTAGTTCACTTATACGTATGTAATATTGTCTTCGTAAGTTTCCTGCTTTATCCTTCCTGATGTCCTAAACCCGTTGGTCGTAAAAGTATTCGAACGTACAGAATCGAGGCTTTCGTTTACCGAGAGTCTAAGAAGAAAACCGAATCGAGTTTTTCAACAGAGACATCGTACAGAAGCAAATAAAGGTGCTTAAGGAATGCCGGCCAACCGTTAAACTTATATGAGTATATTAAACGATTACAAGAATTATTAAAAACGTAAAGAAAAAGATTTCCACAAACAAAAACAAGTACAATAAATGAGGAATAACGGAGAAAAAGAAAATAACAAAGCGATTGCACAGGAACGTTGACGAGTCTCGAGAAAATGTTTGGAAAATAAAAAATAGAAGATTCTCGCGTGTCACATCTGTACCGGCCAAGGAACAGATCTCTCGTCGCGGACTCGATCCGCGGCGATCAATTATTTATATTTCTCTTTCTCTCTCTCTCTCACACTCTCTCGCTCTTTCTATAATATATATTTATATATATATATATATTATATATATAATATATATATATAATGTGTCGTAATATTATAATAATATAAAAATATATTTCTTAACTATTAACACTATAATAAATGAGTATTATAAGCATTATATCTGGATTTTGTCCACATTTTCTCGTTAGTACGGACACGATGCCTGTCGCGGATAACCGGAGCTTCTAGACGCGGAGGAAATGCAACGGTGTGGCTTTCCGCATTGGCCGAACACGACTCTCTCTCTCTTACATTCTCTCTCTCTCTCTCTCTCTCTCTGTCTGTCTACCTCTTATTTTACGTTGGCGCGATTACTTTAAACGTTTTACACTCTTCCTGCCGTGTACCCCCGTATAAGTTGTCGTCTATTCTTTCTTTATCAATTCTTTATCAATAACAATATATATATTTATATAATATAATATATATATATATCACTTGTCACTCATGGTACGTGTAAATAAAAAGAGGCATAAACCGTTATAAAATACAATTCTCGAGTATTATCGATCTGTAGATTATATATATATATATATTAATATATATATATGTATACCGCTTATCTACGCGTCCGAACGAATAAAATCATAAAAATTGTAATCGTAATCGTAATAATAATTTTTTTGTTTATCTGTTTTTAATAGTACAGCACTGGAAGCATTTAATATTATACTTAGAGTTATCGGGGTCCGGATCTCGGTGAAGGGATCGTTCTCCTATTTTTATTTTGTTTTCTCGTCCCATACTTCTTGTTCTTTTCTTTTCTTTTCATTTCTTTTCTTTTCTTTCTTTATTTCTGTTTTTCGAGGTTCTCGATGCCATTTTCCTGTCTCGGTAAACTCGACCGGTCCCGTCTGTGTTTTCTCGCGACGCGACGGAACACAGTGTGAGCACGACAAAAAGTACGAGAGGCCATGGTGATGCTTCGTGTGATAACTAAATAAAAAGGAAGGGAACTGCGGCGTCGATTCTCAAGGAATGTCTAAGGCTTTCGTTAAAAGTAATTCCTAGAGATCACGGAACTCATTTTGCTTCGAAATCCGTTTCCTTGACGTATGAGAAATAATACACGGAGATTCAAGCGATGCGACGATCCTGATTATATCAGTTGCTGTAAAATATGATGAAGGAATCGAAGCTGAGAATGTTATATGGATTGAATGAAAAAAAAGTTATTCGACGTACACGAAGACAAACGTATAAAATACTTAAATAGTACAAAAAAAGGGGTAAAATCTAATTTATGTACAGTTACTACCGTGAGATCTGGTATAATTTAAAATCGTGAATCTCTCGAGTATCATTCGGGGAATGCCGACGATGCGGAATTCAAAGTAAGTACACAACGATCGAAAGTTACTCGTGATGGCATCGATCACCGATAGATAAGGCCCAGAAACACCTCTACGCTGCGTAGAATAAAATTGTAACTCGGCCGAACCACCCCTGGGATCGAAGTTGAAAAGTCGGTCGATCGCGAGTCAAGGGCCGAACGCGGCTAGAAACAATTGTAGTCTCCGTTTCTCAGCGGTTACTCGGAATTTCGGTTTTTAAGCTCTCTCAGTTTTCAGCGGTTTAAATTCAAATGGATTTTCGCCCCGTTCGGCGTTGCCACCGTCCTCGAACCCTCTACCTCCTGGCTCTAGTTCTCATCTAATTGCACGTGTGCTCTTTTAAATATTCTCATCACGTTTCTTACTCGAGAATAATAAATAAAACGATTGAAATTCGTTTGATTTAGGAACGTGCGCTTGTCCTATATATGAGTATTTCATCCGTTTAAACAAATCATTCGGAAATGTTAATAAAATTGTTCACCGTTCATAGAATATCGAATTGCACACGCGCGACCAATACTCCGAAATGAAACTTGAAATCGCGTCACCATATCCCTTCGCCAGTTTTTGCGCGCCGCGAACGAATATTATCGCGTGCCCCGTGCGAACGTGGCTAACAAATTTGTACGTTAATTAGTTTCCTTATTATTGTCATGGTATATATAATAATCTTGTTAATAAAAATACTAAAATATTATGTATATTATATATAATATATAATAGATTATTGCATTATGCATTTTTGGTACCGTTGCGTATTGTTTGGTTTCTTTCGTCGAAATGCTCGAAACGCCGACTCGAGGCCGTCGCGAAATTTATTTTTACTTACTTCTTACTTCGTTTCTGCTCCTTCTGCTATTCTAGCGCGAGAACGAACTTGAGAAGAAACTCACGAGACACATGGACGATACTGTTTGCTGCTCGAACAGAGTCGCGATTCATCGGGCCTCATTTCGCGGTCTTCCCTAAGTCTCCACCCATCATCCTTCCTCTTAGAAATCGCACCGTTAACTTATGGCGCGCGTTCCCGCCCTCATCTAAATCTAATTCTTTAGGCTCTAATTATTGTTCGCCGCGTCTCACGCAAGCTCGAACGGAAACGCGTGCGATGGATCCCGTCGGGAAGACTCGTCGCCAGGTTTCGTTTACTACATAAATTCTACGCGCGTCGCCGAACACGAGAGTAATATCGTAGCAATTTCGTAAGCTTTCTTTTTTTTTTTAAATGCCGAGTCCCGTGCCGTGGAAGGAAAGAAGGACCGTACATACTTACTGAGCCAGCCAGAGAGCGTCTTCGTTTTTGTTTTTTTTTTAACTAGCAGGAATACTTCTATTCTCTATATGGCTTGCAGTAGGAGGAACGATGATTCATGTGTTGGCTGTAGGAGCCGGAGTGAGAGAAGCGCTTGAGGCACTTGGAGCACTGGAAGGGCTTTTCGCCGCTGTGCAGTCGCTTGTGTTCGGTCAGATGGTGCTTGTGCTTGAACGCCCTTGTGCACTCCATGCATTTGTACGGCCTTTGCCCTATCGAAGATCATTGGTCTTTTAGATATCGTAATCACGAATCTATCTAGCATTTACCATTGAGTTCAACGTTCTAATCATTTTTTCATTTGACACACGTTCTTATGGAAATTCGTATAAAGAAAAACGTATAAAAAAAAATTAAGAAGATCGTGAAATGTTGTACAGCCGAACGAATATCCCATAAATGAATGCATACTAAAATTAATTCTCTGGTATTTCGTCACTTTTGGCAGGGATTGTGTAGCCAATACAGCCTTAAGCATTATTAAGAAAAGAATAGACATCGAAATACATACCGGAATGTTCGTATTTGTGTCTTGCTAGGGAACTGTGCTTGGAGAATGTTTTGTCACACCGATCACAGAAGTAGACACCCTGCTCGATCTCCGCCGCTGGCGGACCCTCTGGTTGACTAACGTTCTCGCTCTCGTTTTTCACGTTCGTCTGAGGTTGACTCTGTGAAAAGAAAATCGCACCCTTCTATTTATTCCCCGTTTCATTACCCGCTGTACGAGTATCATTTCTGTAATAATTACCTCTGGAATTTCCACCGCGGCCCAGGCCGAGCGCTTCGTTTCCACAGAATCTGTGGTCTCCTCGTCAATGACGAGTGGCGAGTCCTCGAGATCATCCGGTTCCTGGTTATGCACCGGCGGATTATCGTTCTTCGGTTCAATGGGAGGCGATGACACCTGCTTCGTAGAGACAGCGCCGTTATCTTTGCACGGCGCCTCCGTGAGCGCTTCCTTCTTCGACAGATCCAATGGCTGCTCAATGGCCGTCTGGCTGGTGGTATTAACCAACGGCACCAACGCTGGTATTTTCGATTCTCGCCGGTCCCTCGCTCGGGAATTTTGAAACCAGACCTGCGTATTCAAATTATTACGTATAAAATATTGTACACGTAAATATCGATGAATCTGATTAATCAGTTCTTATAAATGTTTTAATAATGAACGATGTCTTGTTTTAAGTATTAATTCTTATTGATAGACTACGTTTTCATTAGTTTTTATGTGGTTGCGTGTACCTGTACGACGCGAGTGGGGAAATTGATGTAGTTGGCGATCATAAGAATCTCCTCCTTCTTGGGTCGAGGGTTAATAGCGTAGTAACCCTTGAGAACGGCCAATTGCTCGTCGTCTATCAACGATCTAGCCCTGACTCGCCTACCGTTCTCGCTGTGCGTCTGTGTACCGTCCTCCTCGTCCTCGGAGTCCGCCTCCGAACTGTCCTCCGGCTTCCTCTTGTAGCCCGATTTCGCGCGAGGCTGATTCACATCCTCGAGCTTCGCGGCCAGGCCCTCGCTCTGCGAATCATATTGATCCGTCGTCGACCAGTCCGGGCAGTGCGTCATCTCGCTGGACATCTCGCTGTCTTGGTCCTGCACCGATTCGTTCAGTGGCTATTAACGGATCTGATCCGCTGTCAGTTTGTCAGTTGAATAGCCAGAGTTAAACTGGTTCAAGATCAGATGGATCATAATGAATAAAACGAGCGGAATCAAAATAGCTTCGCCCATTTTTGGAAACATATCCAGATGGGACATTAATTTTGGGAATGTTTTATGTGACTAGGGATCGTCTTACTTGATAATCTTCCTCGAACTCCCGTTTCATTGTAGCCGGCGACGTGGACAGTTTCCGTACGTTAGCCTCGAGCAGTTGCTTCGTTACAGAGGTGTTCACCGTTTCGAGGATCCGTCGAACCGCGTCGAGACCCTGAGGATCGCTCGGCGCCGGCGATTCCTTACCCTCGGTGCCCTCCGTGCCCTCAGAGTCCGCCGTCGACGGGCTCATCAGCTCCCGATGCGAGTCGAATTGGTCGGCTACCTCGTCCAATCTCTTGGAATGTAGCTGATTCAAGACCTTGCCGAGGGACGTCCGTAAGAAATAATTGCCGAAGCCCATCATCAACGGCAAAAGAGTCGGCATGTCGTAAATACCTGAAAATCAATCGTTTTCTTTTCCCATACATCTACAACCAAACATTTATCGTTGCATCGTTCGTTTTCAAAGCTCGTCAAGAAAATATTGAAAATGTATCAATTATTAAATAAATAAGTATATGCGAATTACGTAATAACGTTTTTGTAGTTCGAGGATAATTAAAAAAATGTGTTTTATGTAGTAAAACACGCGAGAATTAATTCGCGTATAACTCGGTACGATAGTTCGTTACGCCCGAAAGAGTTTGCCAAACTTTCGGCAGAAATATGGAGCCCCGAAACTTGCTACTCTCTTTCCCTCATCTTTCTTCCCCCGGTATTACTTTTATGCAAATTGACCCATTGAATATTGATGGACGTTCTTCTCGCTTTCAGAGAAGTTCCTCGCGAATCGTCCTCATCAATTTTAAGTAACAGTTCCGAGTTATTGCAATATTTTATTGCCTCGATTCGTGTATTATAACACGTATTAATTTTATATTCAATCGTATTTAAAAAGTTCGATCATTTTTCAAATAAAATTTAAACGTAATAAGAATTCTTAGTTCCGTTTAATATTCGATTACACGCGGAGTTTTTGAAAGCGGATTGTCCGGGGTACGATTGCGGCGAGATAGAATGGCGTCATCGATCCTTACCCGCTCCTTCCCGTTGTATCTCCTGATAATCCGAGGGTGAAAGCTTCGGCAGGATGGGGAGGAAAGTGTTATTATTCGCCGCGAGCAGATCGACCTCGCGCCGTCCCGGCGGCAGGGGTTGTTGCGCCTTTTTCGGGCCACGGTCCACGTTGTTCACGTTCGTGTGCCTGGATTTCTTTAAGTTCACTATCAGGCACTTCTTCGAGGTCATGTGACTCGAATACGAACCCGAATGGGAGAAACGTTTGCCGCAGTTATTGCATTGGAATGGCTTTTCACCGCTATGAATGCGGAGGTGTTCCTAAAGGAGCAGAACAAAATAAAAAATACCAATTAAAGACAGGGAGGGATCGATAACGACTAACGTCTATGAACGAAACGTGATGTAAATTAATTCTCGACGATAACCCGATTCCGGTGCATTCTAATATTATCGGTTCATTAAAGACGAGTGACATTATAAAATGATTTCAGATCCATTTATTATTATTATTATTATTATTATTTAACTCGATTACTTGTTTAAAAGTGAAATATTTAACATGTCGATGTCACTCCTCTTCGATTTAAAGAAAACTCTAGTTGGAATAATTCATTCACTTCGATTGCAGGACAAATTAACATAAGAATCAGGCAGTGCTGTGTGAAGACAAGAGACCATGTAAGGGTAACAAAATTGAACGGAAATAACGACGTTACGGAATGAGAAATGAAAAATAAGGGTGCACTCGTAGTACCTTGAGGTGATGCTTAAACTTGAAGGCTTTCTCGCAATGGGGACACTTAAACTTACGAAGCACGGCACTCTCATCGTGGCTGATCATGTGCCTCTGGAGTCGGTAGACGTTTGCAAAAGTCTTGCTGCACACCTTGCACGACTGAAAAAGTTCGCTCATTCCATTTTCCGTCCAACTGCTTTTTCAAACTTATTCTATTAATCGATTAATAAAAATGGGAAGTTCTGTGAGAGGTGTTATTGTTCTACGCAAGGGGAATCGAGCGCGGAAAGCTCGAAATCTATTTTATTCTAAGCAGACGCGGCCACGTTCGTAGCCGTGAACTACATAAAGCAACAAAGAGAAGCTAGAATTTCAAAGTAAACTCAGAATAGGCTCGCTGCTACTTCATCGAGAACAAACTATTTTATAATAGCCTTGCGCAAACGTATCCTTCCACAATGAGTAATAGGAATTCTCTTATAAAAATATCAACTGCAATTATTTGTAAAATAGTTCCTAAAATA